CCCCGGAGAAATCGGCACTCGGCGGGCGGCGTTGGACTGGGTCGTAACTGGCGACCGGAGAAACATTACTCGAGGCCGCTGCGCTGGACGACAGACGTTTATGGGGTGCTTACATTTCAGGTGGAAATCGGAATGTGTTCGATGGCAAATAAGAAAAAAATATGGAACCGGCGCAGGGAAGGTTGACGGGATCCACGGTGAACCCGCTTGGGATGGGGCGTGCGTGGTTTCTGAAAAGCTTTTTGCGCGTCATTTAGGTGTGTGTAACAGTCTTCGTCTGTCTGGCGATGAGAATAAGCGAATAAAGTGCAATCAGTGCGTGCACATCGAAAAGGTTCACGTCATCCTGCATCTAGTTTCTGTGAAGCTGATTACAGGGCCCGGGTCTTTATAAAGACCTGGACAGGAAAGTTGCAGAACACACATAATTGCCAGTCGATTACAGGTCGGGTAGCAGTTGAACCCCGCCGAGAAACGCTACTAAGACGTGGCCGGCCATTCCACGCCCATTACACGTTCATGTTTATTCACGTGTTTGCCGGAGCCACGTGCTGGAGAGCCCCACGCCGGCGCCGACTCATGGTGCAGCCGGCGTGACCCCTGACCCGGCGTGCCTGGCACGTGTAAACAGCTATTGACCCGGCGGGCGGGCGGCCGGCCGAGGGGCGCTCACACCCGGCCGGGCCGCCCTCGTGCATGGCGCACGCCAATCCGTTCGTTTGTTGCCATGCAGGTCAGCCGTGGCTCATCCGGTATAAATTGTGAATAAATCAGCCCGGCGCGGCGCGCGCCACAAAAAAGCCGACCGCATTCCAGCGCACCAGCCATTGCTGACAGAGGCCGGACGGAGGGAGAGAGGCGCGCGCGCGCCGCCGCCAGCGCGCCGGCCCGGCTGGCCAGCTACGCACCGGGCGACCGGTTTCTCCCTGCGCGGCGCTTGTTGCAGGCGGTCGGCGGCACGGCGTGGCCTTTGAGCGCTATGCCACGCTGCTGGCCGAACGTGAGTCGCTGCACAGAGCTGTTGAGGAATGTGGTGTTGTCGTACGGAGCTGCTTAGGAAGGCAGTGTTGATGTATGGAGATGTTGAAAAGTATGGAGTTGCATGCGAACCGGCCCACCGGACGCGGTGTGATTGTACTTACGTACCTACTGAATGATGCAGGGTTGTTGTAGGGAGCATTTAACCCAAGACGGATGCATTAGACGAAGCCCTTGGCCCACTTTAAATGTGTCACACAGATTTGTCGCGCTGAGGCTGGTTGCCGCATGTGAAATCGTTGCGCGAGTCTGTTAACTGAACTTGTATTCCTTGCAAGCGGATGTTGACGACTGCAGAAGTTCCTCGGACCTGATGGTCAGGTATGAAGGTCATTCGAAGCTGCTGACCGGATGTGATGACTTTACAGGGCTGTTTACCGAACGTGAACTCGTAATGCGGCGCCGCTGGTGAAGCAAGGAGTCGTCGCACGCATCGCGCACCGAATCCGGGCTTGTTACCCAGTCCTATTGACCTAATGCGGCTGTCACCCGGACCTGTTGACCTAACGTGAGTCGTCACACGCGCCACCGACAAACGCCGAATAGCATTTCGTTGTGCAACACGGCCAGGCGGGCGGGGCTCACAGCCGTGGACCTTGAAGGCTGCCTGCCGCGGCCCGGCTGTCACGAGATGGGGATTAGAAACGCCCAATTACTGCCAGCCCGTCACGGACTGGGCCACCGCCAGCACTGAGCACTGCGGCGTCAACTGTGGGCACGTCACACATGGAAAACAGCCGCATAACTGTGCTAATTTAAGGGGTAGGAGCGAATATTTGGATACTTGGTAGCAGCTGGGGCCATTCACTACCATTGGTTGCTTTAAACGCCTATTGTTTCATCATTTTCTTTAAGTTAGTTAAGTAATCATCCCTTTCCGTTTTTGCCCATAGTGGCGCGAAAACGTTTTCCTTCTCCCGGATGCCCTACTTTCAAGGTATAAGTATAAGCCATTTGACTTTGCACGCAGCGTTACAATTATGTGTTAGATCTACCTTGCATATGCACTCTTCCAGGTTTGTCCCCAATAATAATGAGACCTTGTCCAGATGCATCGATGAACCCTGATCATGTCAGTCATGTATGCAGATGCCATTCATACAGACCTTGGCCTCGATTAGATCAATGATCAGTGTTGCCACCAGGAATGCAAACTTCAGTCATCATTGCTAAGAATCCCAGCAAATGTCCAAGAGCCATACTTTATGCGGTGCCAGGGTGTATAGTACAATCGCAGCATTTCCTATCTGGAACCCGTTCAATACACCTAACATGTTTCCAACAGTCTCGGCCTATGGCCACAACTGCACCTCTGTTTGCTGAGATCGGCAAGACCGTCCACCCGAATGACCTCCCGTCCCGTTGCCAAAAGTAGGTTAGCTTAACTACGTGACGTTTTCGATCACTGTTTCGGCGCCGCCAAAACTGGCGGGAACTTCAACGTTTAATAGAGCTCCGGGAAAACACAGCGGGAGACCACCATACGTCACACGAAGAGAGCACCAGAAGTCCGCGGGCCACCCGCGCCATAAATAAATAGGTCGAGCTGGAAGCAAAGCCTGAACGCGCCCCACCACAGACGCTTAGCAGCTAGTGTCGGACGGGCAGCAGGTACCCCTCCGTGTAAACGCTTTCGCCTTGAGAAACGATAGGCGCGCTTAATAACTACCTTCAGTGTGAGCACTTCCGTGCCATACATCAGCCGAACTCATCCGAAAGAGCGGCCGTGATAAACGATCTGTAATATCGGCCGGAACAGAAAGGAGCCGGCGCCGGACGACATCGGCCGTCCAACCGGACGCGTTTGCGGCGCCGGCGGCGCACCGGCGCGCCGCATTGTCCGGCATTCCTCCGCAATGGCCGCGGCTCGGCCGGGCCGACCCGAACGTGCCGTGAACAAAACTCCGCCACAATAAAAAGGATGGCAAACAGGTGGGCGCGCGGCCGGCCGTAACCCGTCACTCAGACGGCGGCATCGACATTCCGGCGGCGCTGAGCGGCCCGGCCTCGGGCCCAAGGTATCGGTCCGATCTGGAGCAGTCCAGCGCCGCCCGCTCCTGGCCCGAGGGTCCGCTGCGCCGGACTGTGGGGCTGGCGTGGTCCGCTGCGCCGGACTGTTGGGCTGGCGTGGTCCACTGCGCCGGACTGTGGGGCTGGCGTGGTCCGCTGCGCCGGACTGTTGGGCTGGCGTGGTCCACTGCGCCGGACTGTGGGGCTGGCGTGGTCCGCTGCGCCGGACTGTTGGGCTGGTGGGGTCCGCTACGCTGGACTCTGGGGCTGGCGGGGCCCGCTGCGCCGGACTGTAGGGCTGGCGGGGCCCGCTGCGCCGGACTGTAGGGCTGGCGGGGCCCACTGCGCCGGACTGTGGGGCTGGCAGGATCCGGGACACTGAAGTATGGGCAAGCGGGCTCCAGTATACGGGTCTTTAGATTTCAATATTCCGTGCACTCAAGGAAAGCTGACATTGTCCGTTCGCTGAGCTCCACCAAATGAGCACCCGCCCTGAGTTGTATGCTCTGTTTGTCCCCAGCGTCAAGGAAGCATTAAAATGTGGTGTACCATCGCGCTGTGCCAAACAAGATGATGGGTTCCTTTAAATTTGGGAGCAGAGAGCCCAGACGACTGACAAAGCACCCAACTTTACATTGATTATATCAGTGCTCAGACAAGTCAGACATATTTGTTGTGACAGTATTCGCATGCCACTGGTGCATAAAAAGTCGCTGCCGCGATATGCACATGGTTTGCGTTTCAGAAATTACGGACAGGTTTTTCAGGAATGTTCCACGACAGAGGAAGACTGATGAGTTCAAACGCTTCTTGCAGACCCGCTAATTGCAGACATTTACAACGAGCACGTTGTCAGTCTGGCTTGACCATGTCGAAAAACGGCATTGCGATTCATCGTTTAAATATCTGGAGTTGAATGCTTAAGCATTCAGTTATTCTGTCGGACAGACCAAGCTCATGTTCATATCGCCTATGATGCTTCGTTCTTAAAGCAATCATTGCTGGCCGTTAGGGCATCTCAGTACGTCGAAGTCATACACAAAATGTTAGCAATGTCTGTAATTTCGCATTAGAGCACAGGTACACCACGAACGGAAAGCACAGCAGTTGGAATATCCTTATTGGGGCTTAGTGCGGGTGATATACTAGAAGACACTCAAATATGGAACATCGCGGGCTCAGATAAGACCACCAACTGTTAACCTCGCACTGTGCGGTGCGTTGAACAACCCTGACACCACGCTCGGAGTGTGCGAGAAAGGCGGCAGTAAAGGCAGCATGCTTCTACCAAAGTGTGTGCCGGGCTTTCATAGGTAATCTAAGTGTGGCTGTGGGTGACGATTGGGAACAGGTGTTGCACCACGCGTTGCCACACACAGCACACAATTGTCCGGCATGCCGCGTGATGGAATGGATGGGCCGTCACAGAAGTGACTGGCCTTCTACTGGCAGTGACCTCTGCATCTACCAGCATCAGCAGCACCACTCCCGCGTGTGTCCGACATCAGCAGCGCCACTCTTGCGTCTATCCGACATTAGCAGCACCACTCCCGTGTGTGTCCGACATCAGCAGCACCACTCCCGCACGTATCCATCAGCAGCACCACTCCCGCATGTGTCCGACATCAGCAGCACCACTCTTGCGTCTCTCCGACATTGGCAGCGCCACTCTTGCGCGCATGACTCTTATTTTGTTTGCTATGTTCATCGGGGTCCCGCCAAAACGGTCACCATACCAAGATAACGTATCGCGGGAGAGCTGAAGTTAACAGCTACCTTGTGTGCATGCGTCGCACAAGGTTCATCAGTCATCCTATACGTGCCCACATTCAAAGCTCACGGCATCTCCTATACATGCCATTTTTCACACCACCATGTTCACAGCAAGTCCTACGCAAGTAACATGACGAGTAACGGAACAACCGCAACCTCCACTGCACGCTGCAGCTTACCTGTGACCAGCTCCTCGTCAAAGATGACGACCAAAGGTTCCGGCGTCTCCGCTGCCCGGAGTGTGGCCCGGCACGTCTCCTGGATGTTCCGTCTTTCCACACTTGTCCCTGGCTTCCCACGCTTGTCCTTGGCTTCCCACGTTTGTCACTGATTTGCCACGTTTGTCCCTCGTTTCCCACACCTGGCTGTGGCGTAGTTGGCGCGTCCCTTACGACCTCAGACCTTTCCCTAAAGTCGTTGGACTGTTTCTCGTGTTGTCAGCCTGTCCCTGTCCTCGCCGGCCTGTCCCTGTTGTCAGTGGCCTGCCGCTGTTGCCAGCGTCGTCAGCCTGTCACTGCAGCGCCCACGCCCGTCTCTGACGCCACCGGCCTGTCACTGGTTTCTCGCTTCCATACCTGGCGTCGCCCGCCTGTCTCTGGTCTCCCTGTGTCGCCGTCCTATCCGTGGCTGCGCACTGCGGCGTCCCTCACTCTCGCGCGCGGCCCCTGCGCTGCGCTCACCGGCGCCGGCCGACTGCTGCGACACGCACAGCGGCTGCCGGCCGGCGCCGCGCGGCTGCCAAATACCGGCCGCCGCTGCAGTGCTGCCATATCCAGCGTCCGGCGCCGCGGCCGGCGGCGCGGCGCTAGCCTGCGTGCGTCGGTCAGCAGTCGAGAAACGTGCCCCGTGCCGTCAGGATGAGACGGCCAGGGAGACGCTGCGATCTCTCTCATCAATTGTTGCGGCTATGAGCAGCAGAATAACGAAATGGCACTTGCGCCTTCTTGCTGTGAAGCGTAAGGTCTAACCCGTGACATGGAGCGTAACTGCTTGATCTGCATGGTTTAAATGGCGTACTTGCGGAATTTTAACGGGTTAGGATGTTCACAAGATTCTACAGCGTGCCTTTCCTCTAACTCGAATGCAAAATGTTTAACTGTGACATCACGTACACGTAGCACAAGCTGTGCTGCACAGCCCATTAGGGTGTGTGATATGTTCTTGCAGAACGTTAAGCAATTGGGCTGTCCTGGTGGAGGTTAATGATCATCAGGCTGTGAACAGCTGAACATTCGTTCATGTATTCGTGCTCTAACATTGCAGCGAATGGGCCTCTCGCGTTATACATGTCGTTTTCGGTAGAATTTTCACCGGCACCCAACTTTTTAAAAGGGAAATACCGATGCCACTACGAAGAGCCTCCGTTTGTATTACGGCACGAGGAAAGTAAGGTGACTGACATTTATCACATGGCGATATCACCTTACTTGATCTTTTCCTCGTCCACTTAAGTTCAGGCATCACTGAACTCGGCTGCAATTAGAGCAATGGGTGGTCGCTCCAGTTAAGCACCCAAATTTCCCCTGCCGAACAGGATCCGGATCTAGCATTACGTAGAAAACAATGAGAGCCCGTAACACGTCCAGCACAGACGTTTTTTGACCGCGTGTGTTGCGGTATCCTGGTGTTTCAGTACTATGTCGCACCGCCGTTCTTTGCACAGGCCTTCACGGCAGTATTCTGTTTGCCCAATCCACACACTACCCATGGAGTTACGCCCATAGCAACCCGCTACTCCTACCTAGTCAGTCCTATCCGTGACCCAAGGGTCGTGCCCATATCGACCCACCACTCATTCCTGGTCAGTCTCACTCACTCACTACGCCCTGTTTGCGTGTTTCTAGCAGCTCGGTTTTAATCTACGGAAAAGTTTCAGGGAAGCATGCGCCCAAACTTAGACTTATGCGTTGATAATTCCTAACGTAGTGTGAATAGAGAGGATTATCCTGAAGGAAGTGGAGTCGGGGTACCGCGTATTGTTTAATTAAGTATCTACGCGACGTTTCGTAAACGTTTCAACCACATACCCATACCCTACCAGTGCCCACACCTGCTATTTTTCGTAAGTCAGTGCCACACCCATCCCGTTGTTCATTCCATACCAGTGTCCGCAGGCTTACCCAACGCGTGCAGTCCGCTAGTTTCTCATGTTCGGACACGCCCCAGAACCTCCGTGTTCCGCTGTGCCAGTGGTTCACCACGCCGTATCCATTGCGGTGCTTTACTGCTGCGGAGCATCGGCAACGGACCGGCCGGTCTGCAGTGACCTTTGCTGCGGTAGGTGCAGGTGCGCCCCGGCATGTGTGCTTGATGTCCCGTGTTCCAGTGGCCTAGTGCTTGATTGTCCGGTGCTCCAGTGGCCTACTGTTTGATTACCCCGTGTTCTAGTGGATTTGGATCTAGTGGCCCATTGTCCGATTGCCTCGTGCTCCAGTGCCTTAGTGTTAAGGTGCTGGACCGTTGTGTCGTGACTTAATGTCCCGCATCCCAGGCCCCCTTTTCCGCGCTGCACGCTTCACAGCGTCCTGCCGTGGGATTGTTGTGATCTTCTTTTTTTCTGCGTTTTAGTGGCTAGCTTCAGTGACCATGCACGGTGCTGCTCGGTGCAGGTCTAAAGCATATCTGGAAAGCAATCTGGTTCCCACTTTCACTCACAGTCAAACCTAAAAATACTAGTACACGAGGTTGACGTGACTAGACCACTGTTGAACTAACGTACATAGTGAAATCCAAGGTCTAGTAAGCTGAAGTATCATGGGCTTCAACCAGGAAATTGGCTGCTCAAGGCACGGCTAACGCAACAGGCAGCAATGAGGCTCATGCAAATCACCGTGTTGCTCATGGTCTAAGCTTTCTGATAATATTCTACTGTGATTTCACATCAGCAAGTAACCTTTCAGGTCACGATCATCACCTTAAGCAAGCCACATTTGGCTGGGTACATAATGCTCTCTCAACTATGATTTCCGAACTTATAAAAACAAATGTAATTTGGTAAGTACCAGTGCGCTCTCTAAAGTGTTCCAGTTCTGTTCGGATTTTGGTGTCTGGATTTAATGAGCAAACTCGCAGGTCGCTAAAACATCACCGAGGCTGGACTCTGAGGCAAAGAAACATCACCGAGGCTGAACTCTGAGGTACAGAAACATCACCGAGGCTGACCTTTACAATGGCATACATGACATAGTGCCACTCCGGTAGTTGCCATACCGAGCAAAACAAGGTTGGGTGAGCGGGAAAACCGATGTAGTGATCGGTGATTTAAGCTGTCCGATTGCAGCTGTTTTCTTTTGAGGTCACGTTGTGAACTATGAGGCGGAGTAAGGTCGCCGGGCTCACGCATGCTTTGCATCGCTATGCAGCGTAAATATGTATCTTATGGCCATCGGATAACTGCAACTGTATTTTTTGGTACTGTTTCAGTTGCAAGGAACTTGGATGACATCCATTTGATCCCCGACAGGTCAAGATAAAACACGGATTGGAGGTCAAGTATTTCCTTTGTCATTAAATAAGGGAGAGGCGGGAGAATTGGGACGCTATTGGAACTTCAACTTTGATGAGCCATTGCAGCAAAAGTATGAAAGCTAGATAACATTGCACCATGCAAATAAATAAATTGGATATTTATTTACATCAAACTAACGAGTAAGTTTCACTTTGTGGTAGGGAACGACACGCGTGGAACAAAAACAAAGACCTTCATTTACAGGAGAATCGGGACGCACGCAGGAGAATCGGGACGGACGTGAATATGAATTGGACATACTAAGGAGCATTGGGACAATATTTCTACTTGGCTACATGTTCTGTAATTAAATTTTAAATGGTAAAATGAGTGCACTGCATTGCCATCTACTTACGTTCAGGAACTTGTCAATGGTCGTGGCAACGTTTCCTTCCGCTGAAAATGGTAGCATATCGGATCCATGAAACTGAGACACAACATTTTAGAACGTGAATTCAGGATATATTTTCCACCTTCAAATAACCATTATGTTTTTGGCAGAAGAACCCAACAACGGGAAGGTATTTCTAGCATAAGATCCGACTAGTAGTAATGCCGACAGTCTACACAATAACCAGACGAGACCGCCACACAACCTGCAGTCGTAATAATCACGTTAAATCATCACAGTCAATGCGCTATTTGCGGCACAGCGGATCACATGACTATCAACCTTGGCAGTCTAGGCACATACTAGGCAACGACAATGGTCGAAAACTTCCTACGCATCGCATAATCACGTGTCAGCACAGCCAATGCTATATTTGTAGCACAGCGGATCGTCGGACTCACAGTCTCGGCAGTCTAAGCACGAAACAGGCAAAACAACTGTCACCAAACTTCCTGAACATCGTGCTACTTACGTTGAATCTGCACAGCCAATGCGTTGATGGCAACACGGTGGATCGCCTGACAAACAATGTCGGTGCCTATCCTAGGCACCCATTTAACAACGTACACGGTCATTAAACTTCCTACACATCGAAATAATCACGTTAAATCAGCACAGCCAATGCACAGCCACCAGCACAGCCACCCGCGACACAGCGGATCATATCGGATCATAGCGGATGAGCGGATCATCAGTCTCGACAGACGTCACATGCAAACTGTGCCTGCCAGGTCGTTGCGTCGGTACACGGCAAGCACGCTTTCTTTTTGCATGTTGTACACTGGATCCACGATTCACGGCTGAGCCTATACTGCATCCCACAGTACAGACACAACGCTTTATCGTCAGCCTTTGGCAAGTCCTTTGCACCTCCCAGCTTTCTCTTCTTACCTTTCGTGTTAGCGGTGTTGCTCTTGGCAACGAACAGTCGCTTTGACATACGCTCATGTCTGGTTTGCGAATTTCGAGTCTTCTTCTCCTCTTCCTCTTTTTTTCTTTGCAGCCCTGGTGTACTCGTAGCCGTCATGGTTTTTCCTTTTTCCGCCCTCAACCTCGACGACTCGGCTCCGCTTTGGGTCCTGCCTTAAAAGATGGAGGACCAGGGGGTCCTGCCTTAAAAAATGGAGGACCGGGAATTGTAAGCGTATGGAGCATAGGCATAGGCATTGGACAGCATGACTCACTGGAGGATCCTTTTGGGATACAAAATTATCCATTAAAAAACTAAATTTTGACGGAATTACAACATAATCAACAAACATAAGAAAGGTGGAAATGAAAGGAAATTTATAATCACGAAAATGTAAGACAGCTTAATAATGAACAATATTTTCTTAATGGCTGTTTGGACGATCTGAGGTCTGCTTAATGACACTTTGTCATTGCTGCTTTATCAGTTTAAGGAAGAAATTGTGATAAAAAGAACTCACTTACGGATATCCCCGAAACTCCTGCGGTGAGACAAGCCGGACTGCGGGAGATGCTGGGCTGAGTGAGCCACCTCCTTGGACCTCAGCTGGAGCCCGCGACAGCCCAGGAACTGCATCCCCGCAGTTCGGTTTGTTGCTTGCAAATGGTGGCCTTTTCAGCTGCAGGTTAACCGGATCAGTCAGCGTCCTTGACAGGGACGGAGGCTCCGGACTCTCGACGCGGTCCTCTTCGTATGTATCCACTTCGTGTGTGCCGTCTTCGTGTGTGCCCGCTTCATGTGTGTTTGCATCGTGTGTGTCCGCTTCCTGTGTGTCCGCTTCGTGTGCGTCGTCTTCAGCCACCCCGGGCGCT